AAACACCGACGCAGCTCACACTAGTTTTTAGGTATCTCTTCTACTCACATGTGATAGCGAGTCTGGGGATCGAATCCTTGTCCGCAGCAGTAAAATAATGCTATTCGCTGTTCCTTGTTCGTTGTCTCCTGTCCTTCGAACATTTTCACCGTTTTTCCGGTTTTCATCCCTAAGAAAAAATACAATGACTAATTTAAAATTGATCTTGAATCTACGAAGGCCACAGGTGTGTTATCCACAAATGAATCCTCAAAAGACAAGGATAATATATATTTGATGCATGGAACAAATAAACTGTAGCATATACTATAGCATTTATTCTACTTCACGTGCGTCTTGTCCTATGTCATTTCTCATTTCATATAAAACTCTTTTCCTTCGTTAAATTTTTGGAGCGCAAACTTGAAACCCGGTGGCGCATGCTATTTTCAATAGCAAAAACAAAAACGTATAAGCAGTATATATGTTAAGAAAGTAGTGTAATTTGGCTGTTTTGAGTTTTTTGATTATAGTATTATTATTGCGTAAGAGCAAGAAAAACAGTTTTAGTAATGACTCATAAAAATGCATCAACATTATAAACATATTGTTCAGAAAGTCATGTAATTTGACTGTTTTGCATTGTAAAGATTATATTAATGAATTATTTTGGTCTAAGAGCCTGAAAAACAATTTTAAAAATGACTCGTAAAAATACATTGAAAGTTGTTATTTGCTCTGATACGTGCTGCAATTTTTTTCCCATTTCAGACCACGTGTCATTCACGTGAGAATGATTTTTTTGTTTGAGTTATATCCATACTTATGTGTCTTCTCATGCACAACCGTTAAACAAAGAAATAATACTCTAGGGAATGACTTGTCTGAAACGGTCAAACATTGCACCAAGGCTAATTAGGTCTAATTTAACGTGATTTAATCAATGTCTGTTCACTCAACTATTACAGCCATCTTCGAAGTATTAATATAATTGACAAAAAATGTTCTAGTGGTCTCTGTTTTTATCGTTGCTGTAGCAACTGGTCTGTGTGGTTAGCCGCTAGAGCGAGATTGAAGAGATATCCCCCGTTTTCATTCATATATCCTATTTGATGTATTATAAATCTCTTGTAGACTCGCTAAACGAGAAGACGACGAAGTTCTTCGCCAACAGAGGATTAGAGACGAGATGATCTTAAAACAACAGCAGCAGAATCACGCGCAATATGTAAGGATTAACCTAGTTGTTTTCTATTGTCTGTCTTGTGTGTGGATCAGTTAAATTTCCATAGACCTTACTTTTTTTCATGCGGGGAACATGTTGGTTTGAACAATAGATTCAACCAAGTGCAGCCTCGCGCTCAAGTGTTTGAGGATAAAATTAATACGGGTTAAACAAAGATTGTTTTTCTCATGAGAATAAACATGGCCAAAGTGTCAATAAACGTCCTTCCTTCCTCCCTCGCGCTTTCTCTCCTTCTCTTCTTTTTTGTTCAGTTTTCGTTCGTTCCTTTCTACTTACTCGAGTCTTTATTCTTTCCTTATTCCTTTTCTAGCATCTTCCATTCTTTCTTTCAAAAAATGTGATAAGATATTGATTTATGTCTTCCTTTTCATTCATACATCTTTACATTCATTTTTATCTGTTTTTTTTTTTTTTTTTTTNTTTTTTTTTTTTTTTTTTTTTTTAATAACTTTTTAGTTTTTTTGACATTTTTCTCTTTCTTTCTTTCTTTCTTTCGTACTTTTCTGTTTCCACCATTTTACTCCCAATATAACATCTTAACAAGTGATTCTTATACATACCTGTTTACACTTTCTGTTTTTCATTTGGAATTCTTATGGTAATGTAATTTTACCTTCTCGTATTTGTTCTAGGGTACATTACGTAATCAACCTACCCTACACAAAGTGTCCCCTTCCAGCGCTACTCTACTTCATTCAAGACAGGATTCATCTCCTAAACTAGATCCTCGGATCAACCAGGAATACCACTCACTCAAAGACCCCATGTCATGTACTCTTCCCATCAAACCCAAACGAGTATCTTCAAATCACTACTCGAATAAAATAAACCCATCAAGAAATGAATGTACTCAGAAGATCAAACCAGACTCTATGTGTTACAGCCCCACCCATTATGATGACATGACGGGCAGGATGATGGGGCTTAGTATCCACCAACCCACCCATATCAATGGATATTCACCCTCTGAAAAGTTCTCCTTCGAAAATCCTTCGACTGTTCAGAAAAATATAAACGTTTCAAGATCGTATACCAGTGATAGCGAAGCAACAAAGCCAAGACCAACGGAAAGAAAAATCTCTTCATCAGCTACGATTTATCTTCAACCTACAAGAGGTGATAGCTATGTGGTGGCTCGAAGAGGTGGATATGACCCTATGAGCTATGTCAGCCCAGAAGAGGAGCAACCAAGACAATCGAAAGTCTATTATGCAGGGGCATCTGAATTCAATGTAGGTAAAGACACAGGACTGAGATCAAGATCTTATGGTAGTATGGAAACACCAACATCCTCTCATTCCTCCGGGCGTGTTCCTTTCGATGCTTTACCACCAAGCTACCGACCCTCCCCTCCCTCGTACCAATCAATACAACAAGCCAGAGCTTCGCTTAATAACTCGAATATATCTCCACGGAAGCCGTGGTACCATGACAATACTTCGGTGCATTCAGAGCCCCTCCTTGAGTCTTCAGCACCGGCTAATCTTCGAGCTGTGTCAGCCAGAATCATCGTTGATAGACCTGTCTGTGAGAGCTGCCTTCAGGTTCCTGTTGGTCGACAGCAGCGCATCTGTGCTGGGTGTGTCCAAGAACATAACAGGAGACATCGGCAGCTACAGGATGGTACAGATATGCTCTATTAATATCTATTTTTAATTATCTATATTATCTACTTATATAATGAATCTTTAATTGGTGGAAATACGGGAGTTGTGAGTTGTGCAGTGCAAACCTTCCTGAGAGAAAGTTTTATTAAAAAAAGTATTATCACTTTTTGCTCTTGCACCTCAAAATTGTGTCACTAAACAGCTTTCCCAAAGAATTCACCTCTTTGGCGCTAGCCGTCACGGGGTATAAATTGTTTTAGATTGTGATACGGTCACCAAAAAGTTCGGCATTCTCGAATTTCCGTACGAATGTACTGACTCTAAATGAACTATTTACTTGGTTAATGTTTAGTTAGTTCTCTAAATACAAGTAAATAATCATTTTTTCTAGCTTGATTGAAGCTTTTCTTACTGCTGTTAAGATAGCTAACTAAAGAAATCTACCTATATTTTCTCTTTAAAGTCAGTGAATTTGTATGAAAAATCCGAAAACGATGTACGAACTTTTGGGTGACCGTAACACAATTCAAGCTAGCGCCGAAAAGGTGAATTGTGCCATCTAACATCCATTGTGAAACTTCTTTAGCAACAGTTCGACTGAACGTTTCAGGGTCTTTGATAAGCCAYGRGTTTCTKKTTTKTTTTTTTTTTTTTTTTACCTTCGTCTGCTCCTGAAATTCCATCAATTATAAATGTTACAAATAACTGAATTATTCTAATATTAGTCCTCCCTGCAGTTGTTGTTGTTAGTAGCAACCATTACACTCTCCCCTTTACTAAGGAATCCAACTGAAGGAATGATGGACTCGAAGTCTGATATTTTGGATTCTGGATTCTATCGTTAGGAGACAAGTGGTGCTACCCTTACAAAGGTGTGGCAAATGACAAATGCAGGGAAGACTAGAGTTCTTTATTGTAAATATATATATGAATAAGACCGTATCATAATTTACAATTTTCTTATTGCTACAGAAACTGAAGTTACTAGTTTTGTGTCCCTCGTTCTAAGACGATATCTTTCATTTTTTTCATTTGTCAATGTTTCTCAATTGTTGGCTTGCATGTTATCATCTCGGCCATGTTGGGGGATTTAGCACACGCTTTCTCGTAAGGCCTTTTGTTATTTCCTCCAACAAGGCCAGGTTTTTGTCGTCATTTCGCTTGTAAAATAGTCAAAGACATTAGCAACTTATGCCGACCCAGTTGTGCATTGCTCATTATCAGCAACTGTCTTTCTTCACACGTGTTAGAAAAGAGCTGCAACGAGTCTGTGTATGTTGCTAATGCTTGTGTTGCAATCATATCGATATCTGTTTGACACGAGATTTTTAGAACATGTTCACAAAATGTGAAATAACACTGACGAGGGTCTGACCTTCCTTTAAAATGCTTATAAGCCTTTACACAATATTTTCAGAATTGATTCTTTAAATAGTGAATATTTGATTGTGAAAATAATTCGTCATTTGAATGTCGGGTCTTTGAGATACGAAGGTTTATATTTCCAATATGTTAATGACTATGACGTAACATAAGGGATTTGAGTTATTTTGTGGCAACTTTTTGTATTGAACGCTGGACATTTTTGGAAAAAAAATTTGTAAGAGCCTTTACGTGAGTCACGAGTAAAGGGGTGATGCTTTTGGAATACTGTATTCCAGAACGAGTGCAGTGTTGTATATTAAATGATCCCTTGTGTTACGTCATAGTCATTAACATATTGTGAATACAAACCTTCGTATCTCAAAGACCCGACATTCAAATGACGAAATATTTTCACAATGAACTATCCACAATCTAAAGAATCAATTCTGAAAATATTGTGTAAAGGCTTATAAGCACTTCAACCTTTATTTTTGACCTTTTTCGATCTTTTTCTCCTCTTTATTTTACATTCATTGTCTTTAACTTATCACTCCATCCAAAGAAAAACACTTAAAACATCAAGATTTTATATCTATTTTTTTAACGTGATGTAAATATATACATTTWGAAGTCGTATACATAGGTTGTGTTACTAGGTAACAAAGCCTGTTTCTTTGTGTACACAGAATTGAATTCTTTGCGCTAAAGTGACATCATAGCCGCTATATTGGTTATCAATAGTTTTTTTCTTTAAATATCGACCTACATGGCAGCTACGTCGTTTGTTTTTACATTCTCTTGGAAATACAAACCAAATTTTCTGCAGATAAGCATTGCAACGTATCAGGAAATGTTTAAAAAAGTCACAATTGGTTGTCATAATGTCACACCCGTCTTAAAATTGTATCGAATGCGAGTCTAACATGAAAAATAATAAATAAATGCCACAAATTTCATGGAGAAAAGTTTGTTTTCTTTTTTATTTCCATGTTACCCTCCATGATACTTTTAAGAAGGGCCATTGCTTGTTCTCGTGTTGTTTAGTTAGCTGAAACTAGTGCTCAGTGATGCTTTAATGAAGACAAATTTCAAGAAAAACTGCTCTGCAGAACACCCATTCAGCACGGTGTCAAATAGACCTTTTTACTGATACGGCGGCCATCGTGATTTAATATGGGATGTCGAGGGGGAAAACACGTAGAAAATTTCTAAACTCGTATAGTGGCGGGCTTACGTTTTCAAATAATTTGAAGTCTTGGTGTTGCGCATATTGTTACAGTTAGCAGCCAATTTAACTACTTTTTAGATTTGCTTCTTAATGAAAAGTGTAAAAATGTATGAAAAAACAACCTACCCTGACAGCTGTGCAGTCTATATATTTTTCAATATTTGCCCCCTCGGCATCCCATAATGTCTTGATTAAAACAGAATTCAAGATGGCCTCCATATTCGTAAACACGTCAAATTGAGCTTTAATTTTATATAAACTACATTCTCTTAAGAAAAAGATTCCTTTGAATTTTGTACTTATTTATGTTTTCAAGGATTATCAGTTAAAAAGAGGAAATCATCACGTCCAATGACATCACGCGTGGCCCATGACGGGAAATTAATTAGTACAAAATTATCCCATTATTTGYGTTGCAAGAGAAGCCATTCATCTTGTATACCAAAATTTTTATCACGACTTGACACTCAATTGGCTTCCTTGTTCAAGCACTGTAATTGGCGGGTGCGAATCTCATTTACATAGATTGGTTAGGCAGAAAGCCATTTGGCACGCGATATAACATTATCTTACCACCCATTCGGATGTTTGCTCATTACTTCGACTCGCGCAGAGCGTGCAATGGTATTTCAAATGTACAATGTTCTTTTGTTTCGTCAGATCTTCAGTATTTCATAATTTTACAATAATGTGTGCTCGACAATTTTATATTTATAACCTATGGGGAAAGGGGGCAATTGAAGACTTGTAGAATATACTTTATTGCATAGAAAAATAAACTGTGATACGCTTTGCGGAGTTGTTTTTTATTCCATAGGGATACAACTAATAGACATGTACAGACACCTATAGGCAGACACCTCCAATTGACAGACACCTACAACAGACACCTACAATAGACAGATACCTTCAATAGACACTTCTAAAACAATAATTCATAAGCTCAACAACGAATCAGAATATCTTCGTATTTTGGTCAGGTGGATGAGTTTTGATACTGGATCAAACACTGATCAACACATGGATCAACCAAGTGAACTCATTTTGACAGCCCACCAAAAACCAGCCAATCGAATCTACTGGGGATAAAACATGGCGGCCGCAATCAGAGAAAATAACTCTGAATCTTTGCTTTCCTAGCTACGTCATGGACTAACAATGCATTTAAATGTCTACATATACTTATAACGACTTCCTATGCGTCAAATGGTGCGTTGTGGTTTTTAATTTTTTAATAAAATTATTGTGAAATGATAGCTCTGTTCGTCGATAAACTGAAACTAGGACCTCCTAATCAACTACAACAATCCTTTGCGCGCGTTCTCGTACCCAGAGCCTGCATTTTTTTCTGGCCAGCGGAGAGGAACGAGGGCTCCAGCATAATCCATTTTTGGCGCATGTGCAATTTTCAGGAAGTGAAATACAATCAACGAAAATCAAGCTTTAAAACAGGGTTCTGTGTTTACTCTCGATCAAAATAAAAAGTCTTTGAACGCATGCGCTCTTATACCGGAAGTCCTGGTCTCAAAAAATGGGTTATGCCAGAGCCCTTGTTCTTCGCCGTAGGCCAGAAGAAACGCCGGCTCTGGGTACGAGATTGACACTGAAGAAGACATGCAAAAKCATGCGTTCTCCTTAGCTGATGTACACAGAGCCGTTCAAGGAAATAAAGCGTTAAATTATCGCACTTTCTATAACCGAATGGATGGTGATGAGTGAAATTTGGGATAAATTTCACACGTCTTTGTCAAAACAGAGTGATTTACGCATATTTTGACAAACACAAATAAATGTATCCCTAATTTCACGAGTCACATGTGATTACCAATTACTACTAGAAAGAACAAATTCTGGCAGAAAATTCTGGCAGCCATAAGCTTAAATTTTATTTTAGTCACTAGAATTTGAGCCTTATCGATGAACACGAAAAAAAAAATATTCCCGACGACTTTAAGATAGCCATTCGTATATTTTCAGTCATGGATTAAGTATATTTTTTCTCGTTAGAAATACAAAAGTCAAGACCACACAAATGTTTTAAAGTTATATTTTTGCAAATAACTATACTTTACAAAAACTCTAGTAGCTTCTGCTCGCATTTCTCCGGGATTCAGTTCTCACTTTTTGATCGTCACAAAAGTTTTGAAATACATTCCATCCATTTTCGATGCTGTTTTTTGGTATTTAAATTCTCAGCTGGCTCTTTGGGCTATAGAATTTTTTCCCCTTGCGTCTTCACAGCAGAGTCTCGACAATCTAGACGCCATTTTCTTTTTGAAGCAGAAGAAATCACACCACCTTGGCAACAGTGAAATTTTACATGCAAAATTACGCGAACTACGCGGTGAAATGTCACCTTTAAATTTGGGAGTAATTTGTCCTTTCTTTTTCAATCTTTCCACCACAGTCCTATCGTAATCAAAAAATTTTTTCATTGTCAGAACAGTACCGTGGACTCTCTTCACATTTACTCCGACGAAGGACTAACGTCCGAAACGTCAGTTTCTAAACATCACAAACCATACGGTGTATTAAGTTAAATATATTCTCCTACTCGTGGACTCTCTTCATCCGACTCTCTTTCTTTCTCTACTGCCAATATAAGTGTGACGGCACTATATTTCAAATGCCGCGACAGCGCGAGTTCGTTGAGTTAACGCAAAGGAATGAGAACGGAGAGTAACTTTAC